GTATCACTACGGAAGTAGGATTGCCCAACCTTCCTTCCGAGGAGTGGCTGGTGGGTTTGAACCGCCAGCCGTCTGGTTAGCAGGCAAGTGTCTTAGCCACTATGCTACTTGGTAACATTGGGACTGTGCTATTTTATTTGTCAGCCTTGGGCTTGTTAGCCTCAGCAGCCAGTAGCTGCTTGAGTGAAGAGATGCCTCTAGCTTCAGTGGGCCAGGAGCAAGAGGCAGAGCTGAAGCCCAAGGTCGAGGGGCTTTCCCCCAGCCCCTAGAGCCTGGCATTTTGAGCTCAGACTTAAAGCCTCCAAACTGTAAGAGAATAAACTCCTGTTTGTTCAGCCATCCCATTTGTGGTATATTCTTGTCAGAGTGGCACTAGGTAACCAAAACAGATGTCAAGTTAAAATCACACACAATATAATTGAAAATAAGTTACCATATGATATGTTAAGTGACATAAAGCTTTTCAACTTATTTTTCCAATTTTTTAATTTGAATGTTTCAAGCATACAGAAAATTGAAAGAAAAGTTCAGTGATCACCTGCAGATGTACTTCCTTGATTACATTATACTTCATCTTATATGTGTTTATGTGTTTTCTTGAGCATTTAAAATTAAATTGCAGACATCATGACACTTGACCTCTAAGTAATTAAGCGTACATATTCCTAAAAATAAAAATGTTCTTTATAACCACAATGCCATTATCGTATCTAGGAAAGTCAGCAGTAATTTCTTAATGCCATCTATTGTCTGTCCTCTAATCAGATTATGCTACTTTTCCCTGGAATGTATTTTATGTTTTAAAACTAAGATTTAACCAAATTGTATTTTAACCAATTTAACCAAATTGTATTTAACCAAATTGTCTGCAAATTGTATTTTTGTTGTTTTAGAGAATGAATTCTATTAGAAATTTGTTAGTTGTTAGATGCTATTGATTTGGTTCTGACTCATAGTGACCCCTGGATACAACAGGACAAAACACTGCTCAGTCCTCTGCCATCCTTAGAGTTGCTTCTGTGTTTGAACCCATTGTTGTAGCCACTGTGTAAATTCACCTTGTTGAGGGTCTTCCTTTTTTTCATTGACTCTCTACTCTATCATGTATGATGTCCTTCTCCAGAGATTGGTCCCTCTTGGTAAAATATCCAAAGAACGCGAGAGAAAATCTCACCGTCCTCACTTCTAAGGCTTATTTTGGCTATATGTTTCCCAAGACATATTGGTTCGTGCTTTTGACAGTCTGTAGTATATTCAGTATTTTTTTACCAGCACCATAATTCAAAATTATCAATTATTCTTTAGTCTTCCTTTTTCATTGTCCATTTTTCACATGCATTTGAGGCAAATGAAAATAACATAGCTTGGGTCACGTGTACTTTAGTCTTCAAAGTGACTCCTTTGCTTTCTAACACTTCAAAGAGGTCTTTTGCAGCAGATTGGCCCCATGCAATACATTGCTTTATTTCTCCACTGCTGCTTCCAGGGATGTTAGCTGTGGATCCAAGCAAAATGAAATCCTTGACAACTTCATTTATTTCTCTGTTTACCATGATACTACTTATTGGTCTAGTTGTGAGGCTTTTTGTTTTCTTTATTTTGAAGTGTAATCCATCTTGAAGGCTGTAGTCTTTGATCTTCTTTAGTAAGTGTTTTAAGTTCTCTTGCTTTCAGCGAGCAAAGTTATGCCATCCACATGTTGCAGGTTATGAGTCTCCTCCAACCCTGATACCCCATTTTCTACTTATAGTCCATGTTCTTGGATTATTTGCTCAGTGTACAGATTGAGTACAAGTGGTGAGAGGATATAACCTTGACACACACCTTTCCTGATTTTAAGCAACACAGTATTTTCTTGTTCTACTTGAATGACTGCCCTTTTGTCTATGTATAGGTTCTGCATGAGCACAGTTAAGTGTTCTAGAATCCTGTTCTTTGCAGTGTTATGTATAATTTTTTATGATCTACACAGTCAAATGCCTTTGAATAGTCAGTAAAACAAAGGTGGTAAACATCTTTCTGGTATTTTCTGCTTTTAGCCAAGATCCATCTGACATCAGCGATGATAGCCTTTCTTCCGTCTCCTCTTCTGAATCCATCTGCAGTTTCTGGCACCTCCCTGTCCATGTGTTGCTGTAACTATTAGAAATTTAGCATACTAGATTTAGTGTATTTTTTTGCATTTTCTAATCTGTGTGCCTGTACTGATTGTTCTCATTAATAACACCTACAGATATAGGTGAACTAGAATCTGAGTGACAGTAAGAGATGGAATTGGAATATATAAGTTTTGGGGGAAATCTAAACTCTTTTTTTTTTTTTTTAAAGAAAGAATAGCTCAAAATTCTCTCATTGTAATGACATACATAAGCTAAGACATACAATGTGTGTTATATGTACATACTGTTTTATGAAGAAATGAAACTTGATCTGATTGGGCTTCTATATGTTATTGGAAGTTGATGTGCCCATTCTATAAGAAAAATTCCTTATTTGTAAATGCGAAGAAAATTGATTGTCCTTTAGTATTTTAGAAATTGGTAAAGCTACAAAGATATCTTTATACCAAGATCTGAAATTCCTCAGGTTGTATACTTTATAACTATAGTAGTTTTAATAAAACCACAGGATAGCACATAAGATAGTTTCGATTTAGATTTTCTTTCAAATATGACTTTAAAACTGTGTGTGTGTGTGTGTGTGTGTACACGTTTTAAATGATTTTTTTTTTCCTTTGGAGGCTATGAAATAGTGTTGATTTCTAGTAGTCAGGATATCTTGGTCCTAGTTCTGTTTTACTATGTAACAGGCATCTGACTTTGGGCAAGTCTTTTAACCTTTCTGGTTCTATTTCGTCACCTGTAAAATAGGGATAGTAGTTGTTCTACTGTGACAGGGTTGTTTCTTGTTAAAGACATAGATAGGAAAGCAGTTTGGAAATGAAAAGGTCCTGTAAGATAGAAGGTGATGATAGGTTATTGTTATGATGTATATATAAAATTATCTAATACTGTTTCTTTAGACTTAGCAGTGACTTTTAAGATACTGTGCTGTCGAGTCGGACCCAACTCTTAGTGACCCCTTCTTGGGTTTCCAAGGCGGTATCACTACGGAAGTAGATTGCCCAACCTTCCTTCTGAGGAGTGGCTGGTGGGTTTGAACAGCCAACCTCTTAGTTAGCAGTCAAATAGTATAAAAGTGAGTAAATAAACTGTATAGTGTTCAAAATGAGAATGTAAATAATCATTTTGTTGGTTTTCTGGGTGAAATAAAGTAAGTATTGTGAGTGTTTTTATGAAAATAATATATTTGTTCAATTAAGAGTAAATAATAGCAAAATATTGTAGTGCCTCGTTGTAATATATATTAATTTTTGTTCTTTTGGACGAGTCTCAACATTGTATTCATATACATGTTGTGGATAAATGCTCAGAAGATAAATGTTTAAAAAGTTTATGTCATTTGTCAAAATGTTGTTGTTGTTATTTGCCATCAAAATAGTAGGGTCTAAAAGCATGTTTAGCCTTGTTAATACTAAATTCTAAGAGCATGTTTAGTCTAAAATTTAAAAAATCTCCATGGAAATGAAACATAAAAATCCCATTTAGGGTGCAGCTCATTTTCATTAATTCTGTGAAGCAGTTGTAGCTAACTTGAACTTTGATGGTGTTTGTATAATAGTGTTTTAGCATCACAGAATTAATACGAATATTGATTCCCTCATTTTCCTTCCTTTGTAGTTTCAGGGTAACCTACATAAATACAGCACAGGTGCATTTTTAGATACACGATCTTAAGCCTTAAAAATTTCTTTGCTATTTTCGTACAACTAACCAGGAGCTCTGGTGGCTCCTATGGGGGAAAAAAAAACTGCTAGGCGGTTTAAACCCACCAGGACTCCCAGGAAAGATTGAACAATCTGCTTTAGCAGTGATACCACCTCGGAAACCCAAGGAGGGGTTGCTATGAGTCAGAACCGACTTGATGGCAGTGAGTTTGGTGTTTTAGTTTTGAACCTTGAACAATTTTAAAATTCTGGGCACTGTCTGTGTCCATTTTTTATTTAAAATGGACTTTCAGAAGGGGTAAAAGGAAAGAAAAGTTCCCAAAGTTATCTATGAAGACATTGTAGGCAATTTTTAAAAATGCTTTTGCCCACAAAAATTTTTACCATCATCTTCCTCATTTTCAGAAGTATCTAACAACCTGATAACACAGTATAGTTCATAAGTGGCATAATGCTTAGGCACTAATTGTAGTTTTAATTCTCCTAGAATTCAGATTTCTGGATCCATCGTGTTGCCCTTAGGTGTCCTTTTGAACTTTGAAACTTTAAGAAACTATTTTCTTAAAGTTACCTTCAAGTCAAAACATAGCCAAATATGCTAAGCAGCTTAACAGAGATCATTTTGCCTTAGGCACTGGGCTCTTTTAGGGAGTTATCTGTGTGTAGCCAATTTCCAGTTGCAGGAACCCCAGGGTCTGACTGGAAGGTACATGGTCCTTAGTGACTCAGTTTATAAAACTGACCAACTTTGGAATCCTCTATTGCTGCCCGATTTGAATTGTATCTACCCCCCATAAATATATTGTTAGACTAATTTTTAGTTTTTTTGCGCATGTAGGTTTTTGACACGTCTTAGAAATTTCTGCTTTGTTCTAAAATGTGTATTTCTTTTAGGTTTTTTTTCCCCCCCATAGTTTTTTGTTAAGCATTAAGCTGATCTTGCTGCAAATAAATAAAAAAAAATCTGATAACTTATGTTTGTATGCATTTATATATGTTTTTTTTTTTTTTCTTAAAGCTTTTTATAGAAGCCACTGATCTATTTGTCTTCATAAAATTGTGTGAAAAATTAAGATTCTTTGCTTGTGTCTACATCCTTAGGAGCTAAACTCTTGATCTCTTAAATACTGAAAGATAATATTCATATTCTGACAGTCTAGCTTTCTACCAAATTAAACATGTGTCACATTTTTTTTTCCCCTTTCTTAAATAGAGATGTGCTCCTGCATCTATTCGACTCATGGACAACGAGCAGTTTCAGTTTGGTAAGTGTTATGGATTAATTGTTTCCTCTAAAAATTTATGTTGAAGTCCTAGTTCCTGATACCAATGAACAAGACCTTATTTGGAAATAGGATCTTTGAAGACTATCAGTTAATAGGAGGTCATACCAGAGTACCAAAAACTGCCATTGAGTCGATTCCAACTCATAGTGACCCCCATTGAGTTTCCAAGGCTGTAAATCTTTACAGAAGTGGATTGCTTCATTTTCCTCCCATGGAGCAACTGGTGGATTTGAACCACGAGCCTTCTAGTTGGCAGTGAAATGCCTTACCCACTACACCACCAGAGCTCCCTTACCAGAGAACAGTGGGCCCTAATCCTCTCGTAGTGGTGTCCTGTAAAAAAAAGAGAAGAAGCAGAGAGTCTGAGGGAAGATGGTCTTGTGAAGAGGAAGGCATACTACACATGCAAGCCAAGGAATGCCTGGGGCTAACAAAGGCCAGTAGAGACAAGATAGGATCTTCCCCTAGAAACTTCTCAGGAAGTATCGCTTGTTGATACATTGACTGGACTTCTGTCTCCAAAACTGTGAAATAATAAGTTTCTGTTCTTATAAGCCCCCAATATTTTGTACTTTGTTACAGCAGCTCTCGGAAACAAATATAGTAAGTAAGACTGGTAATTTTAAAATCTACTTGTTACAACAAAAATTTATGAAACACCAGTTATGGTTAGGAAGAGTACTGAGTGCAGATTAGAAGGATGAATGTTTATCATCCTTGCCTTTCAGGGAGCTGTAGTCCAATGAGGACAGTTGATTTCATGAATTAATAGGTGTTGGGGGTACTATGAAAGAGACTTCAGTGGATACCATGAGAAGCAGATGAAGGAGTGGGTGATACCTCTTTTTTTTTTAAATTGTGATTTGGGTGAAAGTTTACAGAGCAAATTCATTGTCCATTCAACAGTTCATACACATTTTGTTTCATGACATTGACTGCGATCACCATAATGTAACAACTCTCTTCCCACTTCTTCCCTGTGTAATTTCCTTTTCCCTGTATAATTCTATCCTGTGCATTCCTGTCCCCTGAGCTCTCTCCCTGTGCAAATGCTGCCCTTCTGTTCTGCCATGGAGTATATCTGCCTAGTTGTTTCAGCACAAGCCATATTATTGGTTATTAATATTTTTAATATCACCCTTACCTGTGACACAATCCTTAGTATATTCATGATCTGTTAATGCCTGTTTTTTTTTTTTTCTGTAGACAAAAATTTCTCAAATTCGGGGGTTGTCTCTTACTTATTTTTATGTCTCCTACACTTGTCACAAAACAGGAATTAATCATCAAATTAGAAAAAGCAGGTGAACAAATCCTGGATAACTCATAACGGCATAGAGCAGTTTACCAAATATTTCCTCACAACCATTCTTCAAGGTAATATTCCTATTTTACAAGGACTCAAAGGCTAAACAGTTTGACCCAAATCTGTAAGTCATATGTTATGGAGCTGAAGCTGAAGCCAAACCTATTTGATTTTAATACTTCCTACTGTCTTATATACTTCTTTGAAACATGGCTATCTGATAAATCGTTCTTAATTATTTAATTACCACTGCAACGATAAACACCACTAGTCTGCCATTTTGTTGTACTGTGGTACTTGTGTGTAGCTGTGTTGCTGGAAGTTGTGTCACCGGCATTTCAAATACCAGCATGGTCACCCCAATGAACAGGTTTCAGTGGAGCTTCCAGACTAACACACACTAGGAAGAAGGACCTGGCGATCTACTGCTGAATATAAACTAGTGAAAACCTTACGAGTATCAGCAGTCACTGTCGGACACAGTGCTCGGGTTGGAAGGCACTCAAAAGACAACTGAGAAAGAACTACCCCTTAAAGTAGAGTTGAACTTAATGACATAGATGGACTAAAGCTTTTATTTGTTGAGGTGGTACTACTCAAAATGTGAAGAAACAGTTGCCACAGCCATTAATAATTGGAACATGGAATGTAAGAAGTATGAATCCAAGAACAGTTGAAGTCATCAGAGATGAGATGAAGTACACAAAGGCCAATATCTGAGGCCTTAGTGAGCTGAAATGGACTGGTGTTGGTCATTTTGGATTGGTTAATCATATGATCCACTGTGCTGGGAATGACAAATTGAAAAGGAATGATGTTACAAACATCATCAAAAAGAATATTTGACAATCTGTCCTGAAGTACAACACTGTCAGTGACTGGATAATATCCATATGTCTATAAGGAACACCAGTTAATATGACTATTCAAATTTATGCATCAGCCACTAATGCAAAAGATGAAGAAATTAAAGATGTTTACCAACTTTTGTAATCTGAAATTGATCACACATGCAATCAGGATGCAGTAAAAATTATTTGTGGTTGGAATGCTCTAAAAGCTGGAAATAAAGAAGAAGGATCAGTGGTTGTAAATTACAGCCTTGATGATAGAAATGACACCAGAGATACCATGATAGAATTTTGCAAGACCAACGACTCATTGATTGCAAATACCTTTTTAGAACATAAATAGAGACTATACACATGTACCTCACCAGATGAAATACACAGGAATCAAATTGACTATATATCTGTGGAAAGAGATGATGGAGAAACTCAATATTATTTATCAGTCAGAACAATGCCAAGGGCCAACTGCCGAACCAGACTATCAGTTGCTTGTATGTACGTGCAAATTGAAGCTGAAGAAAATTAAAATCCGTAAAAGTGAAGTATGACCTAGAGTATATCCCACCTGAATTTGGACACCATCTCAAAAATAGATTTAACATATTGAACACTGAGGACTGAAGACAAGACGTTTTGGTATGACATCAAGGACATCATACATGAAGAAAGCAAAAGGTCATTAAAAAAATGAGGAAGAGACCAAAATGGACATCAGAAGAGACTCTGAAATATATTCTTGAATGTAGAATAATTAAAGTGAATGGGAGAAATGATCTGAAACAAAAGATCTGAACAGAAGATTTCAAAGGGTGGCTCAAGAAGACAAAATAGAGTATTATGATAAAATGTGCAAAGAACTGGAGTTAGAAAATCAAAAGGGAAGAACACACTTAGCATTTCTGAAGCTGAAATAACTGAAGGAAAAATGCAAGTTTTAAGTTGCAATATTGAAGGATTCTCTGGGCAAAATATTGAACGACACAGGAAACATCAAAGGAATATGTAAGGAATGCACTGAATTACTGCACCAAAAAGAATTGGTTGATGTTCACCCATTTCAAGAGGTAGCATATGACCAAGAACCCATGGTATTGAAGGAAGAAGTCCAAGTTGCGTGAGGGATTGCTGAAAAACGGGGCTCCAAGAACTGATGGAATACCCATTTTGAGGTGTTTCTGTATACTAATGCAATTCTGAAATTGCTCATTCATCTGTGCCAAGAAATTTGGAAGATAGCTACCTGGCCAGCTGACTTTGAAAAAGATTCATATTTGTACCCATTTCAAAGGTTATCCAACAGAATGAGGAAATTATCTAATGATATCCTTCATATAGCATTTAGTAAAATTTTCCTGAAAATAATTCAAAAACAGTTACAGTAGTACATCAACAGGAAACTGCCAGAAATTCAAGGTAGATTCAGAAGAGGATGTACAATGAAGAATATCGTTGCTGATAGGAGATGCATCTTGGCTGAAAGCAGAGAATACCAGAAAGATGTTTATGTGTGTTTTATTGACTCTGCAGAGGTATTTGACTGTGGATCATACAATTTTTTTTTTAGAAGTGTGTAATTTCTTTTGTTATTTCTGGGTTTTGAATCAGAGATATTTTTCTAACACCCATGTTATAAAGGAATCACTCTTATTTTATTCTCCTATTGTATGGTTTCTGGTAGCATAGTGCCTAAGGCACTTGACTGCTAACCAGAAGGCTGGCGGTTCAAACCCACCAGCCACTCCTCGGAAGGAAGATGGGGCAATCTA